CCAAGACCCCACCCCCAGGCTTGTTTTGCTAATTACATTGGGTGAACGAACACATCATCCGCACAGAGATTCAGTGAAACAGCACCTCCAAATTAGTCTCCTTTTTTTGCTAAAAATACCCTGGCTTTTGCCTTTATAAAAACTTTGCCCTTGGCTGAGTGTGGTAGCGCTCACACCTGTAGTCTCAGCACTTTAGGAAGCCAAGGCAGGAGGACTGCTTGTGTCCAGGAGTTGGAGGCACAGTGAACTATGATTGAGCCACTGCCCTCCAGCCTGGGCTACAGAGCAACAGAGCAAGACTGTGTCTCTAAAAAAACAGCAACAACAATAACAACAAAACTTTGCTCTTGGGAACCTTGTGCTTGTTTTATCCAAAAAAAACACACAAAAGCAAACATCTGCTTCAGGACCACCTGGAAACACATGGGCCCTGCGTTTGGGGAAAGATGAGAATTCTGGGTAACAATGTTAACACCTAGAACTTGATTACATTTTTAGCTCTCATAGTCCCTTATTTGATTCATTGTAGCAAAAGGAAAGCCTGTGATAATGCAAGGGAACCCCTGGCTGCTTTGCTGGAGTCCCTGGGAGGCGCCCCACACCTTTGCCACCGTAGTCTCCGTGCTGCGGAGCAGCCGGCCTCTTTCATGCTAGGGAAACCACGGTCCTCGTGGCCCACGCCTTTGACCTCCGATTCTTTCACACTCCCATTCACACCCACACAGGCTTGTCCCCCACTGAACTTGACAGGAGGTCATGTTTGTGGGAATGGCCTGTGCCTGCTTTGCAGGGTTGAGCAGGCTGAGGGTGTGTGCCTCTGGGGACCCTGGGCTGACAGCAAATCCCGACAGTATTTCGGCTCTGGACTGACTTGGCCTGTAGTGCTTTCCCAGGCCTCTTACATCAGCATGGGAAAAAGAAGCCCTTAAGGGTGTGAGGGAAGGCCCGTTTTTAATTAACAAAAAGGAATGCAGCTGCCCCTGGCACCCTACTGGTTACCTCAAGTGGCAGCAGAGCCCTCCCCAGAGCCGCCCCAGTCCCTCAGAAGTGCTGGGTCCAGCCCAGGTGCCCATCTGGTGGCTCTGCGGTGTTCTTCTGGGCAGATCAGTGTGGACTACACAGCGAGTGAGGGCGCGGCTCATACAGGTGGTTGAGGGAAATGGGTAATGCCCATCCCTTGCTGTTTTAAGTGCAAAAGAGCCTGTTAGTGCTCCTCTGACAAAGGATCATCCATCCAGTGAGTGACCGAGAATGACAGTGACTGACATTACTATTCAAAGTACATCTCTTGATTGCTGATCTGAGCTACTGGTTCAGAGCCAGGTTCTAGAGCAAGCTTGTCCAACCCATGGCTCGCAGGCCACATGCAGCCCAGGGTGGCTTGAATGCAGCCCGACACAAATATGTAACCTTTTTTTTTTTTTTTTTTTCCGGAGACTGAGTTTCACTCTTTCACCCAGGCTGGAGTACAGTGGCGCAATCTCGGCTCACTGCAACCTCCGCCTTCTGAGTTCAAGCGATTCTCCTACCTCTGCCTCTCAGTTCAAGCAATTCTCCTGCCTCAGCCTCCCAAGGAGCTGGGATTACAGGCGTGTGCCACCACGCGTGGCTAATGTTTTGTATTTTTAGTAGAAACGGGGTTTCACCATGTTAGCCAGGCTCGTCTTGAACTCCTGACCTTAGGTCATTCACCTGCCTTGGCCTCCCAAAGTGCTGGGATTACAGGCATGAGCCACCATGCCCGGCCTACAAATACGTAATCTTTTTGTGAGATTTTTTTGCGAATTCTTTTAGCTCATCAGCTATCATTAGTATTAGTGTATTTTATGTGGGACCCAAGACAATTCTTCCAGTGTGGCCCAGGGAAGCCAAAAGATTGGACACCCCGGGGGCTGCAGGTTCAGCCCCTTCCTGTACCTGGAAAGGATAGGAGCTCGGTCCCCTCCTCCAAACCAGACCTTTGCAGAGGTGGCAGCTGGGCTCTGCAGGTCAGTGGATCCCTGAGTATCAAGCCAGCACTGACCTGGGGACAAGAGACTCTGCCTTGGCTCTGTTAGTGGATCCCAGCTGCAGCTCTTTATCAGAATCTTCAGGGCACTGTTTTGAAAACATTACTGGTTGCCCCAGTTGGTTGACTGAGAATGTCTGGAATGGGACCAGAGATGCAGTCTACATGTTTCGAAAGTTCTCTAGGCGACTCCAATGCACAGCTGCATGGAGAACCACTGAGTGGGGTGGGGATCTCCCTGGTGGCCCCAGGGCAGGCAGCCTGTGGGAGCTCCTGAGAAGCTGCTTGGCACCGGTCATTATACCACCCGCGCCTTTGTTTTTAAGTGAAACTTGAGGCACAGTCAGAACCAATTCAACCCGAAAGTTATTACTTGGGCTGCTTCACGCACCTGTGTTTAGTTGACATAACCGATGCATTTTTCTTTCTCCCTGTGCTTCTACTTTACCTGCTATTAAAGTGGGGGAAAGTAATATCCCAAGTAGTTTGAGTTGTTGGTTGTTGGGTTTAAGCTGAAATTAGTCCAGGGTTTTGTGTGGGAAGGTAGTTGTGGTCTTGGGATACCCGGAGTCAGTGTTTAACTGTGATTGGCTCTGAGTGATTACATGTAAATGATCTAGAACCAGCTCTGCTCAAAGCAGTTTCTATGCTGGATGGTGTTGTGGTTTCCCTCTCTCCACACTGGGGCCATACCAGCCCCTCTCCAATGGGAGCCCAAGTTGCCGATTACTTTAGCCAAACTCAGTCATTCTGGTCTGTATCCTGATCCCTTTAGGCTAACAAGAAGGAAGGAAACATCGCATGAAAGAAAGGCCATGTACAACTTATTTTTGTAACTCAAGGAGGTTCCCTGACTACCATTTTACTTGCCAATAGACATGCATGTAGAAGATGAATGGCATATCCTGTCCATAGAAATAACACGTGGTGGCTGGGCATGGTGGCTCAAAATGCCTGTAATTGTAGCATTTTGTGAGGCCGAGGCAGGAGGACTGCTTCAGCCAGGAATTCAAGATCAGCCTGGGCAACATGGCAAGACCCTATCTCTACAAGAAAATTTTTTTAAAGATTAGCCAAGTGTGAGTGCAGTGGCTCACGCCTATAATCCCAGCACTTTGGGAGGCCAACGCAGGTGGATCACCTGAGGTCAGAAGTTTGAGACCAGCCAGGCCAACATGGCAAAACCCCGTCTCTACTAAAAATACAAAAATTAGCTAGGTGTGGTGGCAGGGGCCTGTGATCCCAGCTACTCGAAAAGCTGAGGCAGGGAGAATCGCTTGAACCTAGGAGGTGGAGGTTGCAGTGAGCCGAGATTGCGACGTTGCACCCAGGACTGGCTGACAGAATAAGACTCCGTCTCAAAAAAAAAAAAAATTAGCCAGGCCTGGTGGCACATGCCTGTAGCCCCATCTACTTGGGAGGCTGAGATGGAAGGATTGCTCAAGCCCAGGAGGTTGAGCTATGATTGCACCACTGCACTCCCACTTGGGTGACAGAGGGAGACCCTGTATCAAATTTGAAAAAAAAAATGCAGGTGGTGTTTCAGGGCAGTGAGGTTGCCTGTCCTGAAATTTTCACTTCTTCCTGCCAGGGAAGCCACACTGTCCCAGCCTTTTTCTCCCTAGGGCCTCTGCATCTTCTCAGACAGCACAGGCTCGGATAAGGGATCATCACTTACCACCTAGCCAGGATAGCAGCCACAGCTCACTTCCCTCTCAGGCTGTCAGGTGACAAGAGAAGCTGTGTCCAGGAGATACCGTGTCTTATTTGTCCAACATCTGATCATCTGCAGCTGTCTTCAGCTACTCAGTGGTTGACACATGCATATGCAGGCATATGTGAACGCACGCACACATGCCTGCACACACATGCATTTTATGGAGGGCCAATGTTTTAGCACATAGGATGATCTCTTCCATATTTGCTGCTGTTTGGGCCCCATTAGGGAGGTTCCCATCCTGTGGCTTGGACCACTACAAAAATAAAGCATCATCTGTGGACATTTCGAGCCTAGGCTGTCTGAGTACACACACTTTACAGGTACCTGGCATCAGGCCACTTAGTTGCACTGAAGCCCCAGGGCCTCTTCCTCCGCCTCTCTAGCCTAGATTCCTCATATGGTGACAGAGAGAAAACATCCCAAAAAGTGATCGTATTAAATGAGGTGTCAGGTGAGAGGCTCCCAATGTGCCCCCTGAGGCGTCTGTTGTTGCACTGTCTGTGGCAGTGGTCTCTGCTGCCCAGGAGCCTACGGGGACCTGCCTACCATGTGTCCCCTTGGCCCACAGCTGGCTCTTCCTTCCCTGAGCCAGAAGGGCTTGGATTCTTAGGCTGTGCGTTTACATCCTGCACTCTGAGCTCCTTGGAAGCAGAGCTGTGTGTTTACTGGCTCAAAATGCTACAGCCTAATGTGTAACAGTTGCTAAATAGATAATTTTTGATTAATTACTGGAAATATCCAGCTCCCACTCACCCTCATTCTGACTTGGAATTCTTCATTGAACTCAAAAGGAATAAACACCTCCGCATCCAGCCTGGTTTCAGAGCTGCAGTACAATCTTGCCAACAATTGTTTCCAGCCTTTTCCAGCTTGATGGTGAAAATCCCAGAATTGCAAATGAGAAAGACCCCTGGGGGGAAACTCAAAAGCTGGCCATTCTAAGACCTTTGTCATTTTTCCTTCTTTCTTTGCTAATATCACTTGTGGTATGGACACAATACATTTCCAAGCAGAATCTCTGAGCCTTCCAAACTCATTAAATTGATACATTATAACTTGACTCACCTGCCCTACTAAAACCTCACCAAGATTTTTCTAGATTATAAAAATATGCTGTAAAAAGATTTGGCCTGGACATCTTGCAGTGTTGGCCAAAGGGCCGGCCCAGTCACCCCTCCCATATGTCCATCTGGGTTACTATTTATATCACCCTTTAAAACAGATCATTAGCCTCATATCAGAAAAATAGCAAAACAGAAAATGGAACATGGGAAAAGTTAGCCGCAGCTTGCTTTTATTGCTGCATGTGACCTCAGAAGGCCTGGCCACCATTTGAAAGGTCTAATCCTAGAAAACACATCTGGCTGGAGAAGGAACCTTGACCACTACAGAGTCTTCGATCTTCTCAGGGGCAGGAGGACTTCACCGGGCTCTTCCGATAGCCAGGAACAGATATCCAGGCGGGCTGCCTGGAATCATGGGGACATGCAGCTCATGGCAAGGAGGGAAATGAGCCATACTGAGTCCTGGGAAGGCATTTCGAACTCACATTTCACTCCCACACATTTGACCACCTATGGTTGAAAGAAAAAATAAGTTTAAAAAAAAAATTCTTTGAGACAATCTCACTCTGTTGCGCATGCTGGAGTGTGGTGGCATGATCCTAGCAAACTAGAACATTGAACTCCTGGGATCAAGGGATCCTCCCACCTAAGCCTCCCAAGTAGCTAGGACTACAGATGCACACCATCACACCCAGCTGACTTTTTATTTTTACTTTTTGTAGAGAGAGGGCTCTTGCTTTGTTGCCCAGGCTGGCCTCAAACTTCTGGCCCCAAGTGATCCTCCCACCCCAGTCTCCCAAAGTGCTGAGATTGCAAGTGTGAGCCACTGCGCCCAGCTGTTAAAAAGCAGGATGTGTCTGTTGCCACCTGCCATTGTAGCCAATAATCATGTGCCCCCGAGCAAGCAAGAACCATGTAGCTGGTCCTGTCTACAGCCTCAGCTCCTGTGGGTCCCTCATGGTGTGAGTATCCTGTGACGCTGAGTGCAGTTTCAGTATTTAAAGCTTTCTTTGCTTGCTTGCTTGTTTGGATACAGTATGGACCTTAACTGCCAGCCAACTATTTCATCTAATGCTCGGCCCATCTCTGGAGGAAAACTTGACTGTGTTGGGGCCATTTCAGAGGATTTTTAGATGTTCCAGATGGTATCTTGATGGCAACTGACACAGGAGAATTTCCACCTTTTGCACCGACTTCAGATCCTACCTTCTTAGGCAACTGTCCTCAAAGGTCTTTTGGGGCAACCCTCATTTTGTGATTCCCTGGGGCTGGGTCATGACTGCTCACTGTTTATCATTGTATTCGCTTCCTGTGGCTGCTGTAACAATTTACCACAAACTCAGTGGCTTAAAACAACAGGAACTGGTATCTCACAGTCCTGGGGTTCAGAAGGGCAGCATAGCCTCACTGCGTTAAAATCAAGGTGTCACAGCGCTGCTTCCTTCCTGGAGGCTCTAGAAGAGAATCCACCTTCTCACCATTCCCAGCCTCCAAGGGCCACCCGCATTCCTTAGCTTGTGGCCCCTTCTTGCGTCTTCAAAGCCAGCAGCGTTGCCTCTGTGGCTGTTCTTCCAGTCACATCTCCCCTGGTTCTCTGCCACTGGGAAAGGCAATCTGATTTTAAGGACTCATGTAAGTAGATTGGGCCTACCTGGAGAATCCAGGCTGTTCTCTCTGTTGCAAGGTCTCTAACCTTAATCACATCTGCAGAGTCCCTTCTGCTGTGTAAGGTAACACATTTACAGGTTCCAGGGACTCAGGAGTGGACATCTCTGGGGACCATTATTCTGCCTGCCAAAGTCATCTCTTCTTTCTTTCTCCTTCCATTAACAATCCATGGAATCTTTCTGTATTTTCTGTAGTTACCAAGCTGTGTTAGTCAAGGTTCTCCAGAGAAACAGACCCTATAGGTAGATGATAGATGATAGATAGATAGATAGATAGATAGATCTATAGATAGGTAGACAGGTGGACAGATAGGGAATGAGATTTATTATACAGAACTGCCTCATGTGACTGGAGGCTGAGAAGTCGCACAATCTGCTATGTCCAAGTGGAGACCCAGGAAGGCCAGTGGTGGTGTTCAAAGGCCTAAAGAATTCAATCTTCCTCCACCTTTTGTTTATATTCAAGCCTTCAGTGGATTGGGTGATGCCCACTGACATCGAGGAGAGTTATCTGCTTGATTCACTTCACCAACTCAAATTCTAATCTCTTCCAGAAACACCCTACAGCCACCTCAGAAACACTGTTCAACCAGCTATGTGGGCATCCCTTGGCCCAGTGAAGTTGACACATAAAGTTAACCATCACACAAGCTGAAGAATCAGATCAGCCTGCGTTAGGTCTCCCCATTCTGCCTGAGCAGGCACTGATTTTCACATGGGATTGCCTTACGGGTAACCAGTCAGCGGTCGGCTGCCCTGGCTGTCAGCTGGGGTCGGGGGGGAGGTCACACGGCACTGACTACGGCTGCCTGCTTAAAAACAGGCCAAGACTCTTGCAGCCCAGAGCTGTCTCCCTCCAAAGGCAGTGGTAAGCGGGATGGGCTGCAGGCTGATATGTGTCCTGGGATGGGAATCAGGCTTCTCCCAAACAAGTCAGCCTTCCTGGGGATTGCAGCTTTGTGCTACTGCAGCTGGAAGCCCAGCAGGAGCATGGGTCTGAGCCAGCCCCTGAGTTGAAGTGTAGCAGGACAAGCAGCAGACAAAATCCCTCAGACACCGAGTTAAAGAAGGAAGGGCTTTATTCGGCCATGAGCTTTGGCAAGACACGTCTCCCAACAACCGAGCTGCTGAGTGAGCAATTCCTGTCCCTTTTAAAGGCTCACAAATCTAAGGGGGTCCGCGTGAGAGGGTTCTGATTGATTGACCAAGCAGGGGTACGTGACTAGGGGCTGCATGCTCCGGTAATTAGAACGGAAGAGAACAGGACAGGGATTTTCATAGTGTTTTACTATAGTGTCTGTACTCTGGATAACATAACCGATCAGGTCAGGGGTCGATCTTTAACTATCAGGCCCAGGGTGTGGCGCCAGGCTGTTTGCCTGTGGATTTCATTTCTGCCTTTTAGTTTTTACTTCTTTCTTTGGAGGCAGAAATTGGGCATAAGACAATATGAGGGGTGGTCTCCTCCCTTAGAAGGGATTGCAGCACCAGTGAATTAGGTCATTGCTAGACCATTTTATAGACCAGGAAACTGAGGCACAGAAAGGCTCAATAATTTGCCTAAAACAGCTCAGCTTGGAGAAGGCAAAGCAAGGATTTAAACCCAAGTGATCTGGCACCAAAGCCTGCACTCCTAGTCACCGCTCAATGCTCCACCATTGGCCACCTGTCCTGGAGAAGGAAGAGCACTTGCTGTGATCTCTTATTTGAAAAACGAGGCCGGGCGTGGTGGCTTCCCAGCGCTTTGGGAGGCCAACACGGGGGATGGCTTGAGCAGGAGTTCAAGATGACCCTGGGCAACAAAAAGAGACTGCATCTCCACAAAAAACTAAAAATGAGCCGGGCATGGTGGCGCGTGCCTGTGGTCCCAGTTACTTGGGACTCTGAGGCGGAAGAATCACTTGAACCCGGGAGGTCGAAGCTGTAGTGAGCTGTCATTGCGCCACTGCATTCTCGCCTGGGCAACAGAGCCCGGCCCTGCCTCAAAGAAAGAAAAACAAGCACGTGATTCCCATCTGATAAAGGTTAGAAACCAGTTGGCGCCCCAGGCCTCAGCGCGCGGTCAGCCTGCAGCGAGCGCGTGGGTGCGTTTCTTTCTCTGAGGGCAGCGGAAGCACGGGCCGGCGCCTGTCAGAACTCCCTGGCGCGCCGCTGGCAGGCCTTGCCCGGCGCCCGCCTCCAGCCCCATCCCATTGGCCAAAACGGAGTCAGGTGGGGACCAAAGACAAAGGTCCCTGCGCTGGCCCAGCTTGTAGTCCCTGGCGCAGTCAATCCGGGTGAAGGCAGTGCCCACCAGCCCCCCAGGTCTGGAGCTGCCCGGGCTCGGGCTCGCGGTGGGTGGAGGCGGGCGCAGCTTCCCCGACGCGAACGCCCTTCGCCTGAGGGAGATCCGGGTGCTGTTCGCCTGGAAGGTTAGGGGCGACCAGCGTGACTGCCACGGTGCGCCGGTGCTCTTGAAGGGGGGGTTGGGCGGAGACAGCGGTACCCGCGGAGTCCTGAGGGGACGTGCCCCTCAGGACTCCCAAGGGGCGCCCGCCAGGCGCCAGGCGCCAGGCTGAGCCAGCGCGGCCAAATCCCTTCAGGGCTAGGGCCGCCCAGCCTGGGACCGCGCCCCTGCACCTCGTGGACGGTGTGGGCCGGGCTTGGGTCTGACGCCCGAGGACCCCTTCCCCCCGGCCCAGCCCGGCCCCCGCAGGCGCTGGACGGCGCCCCTAGGTTGGGCTCCTGGCCAGGGAACAGAGATGCCCGGCGACCTCGCGCTGCCGGGCAGGACGCCCGCGGCAGGGGCTTCCCCAGGCTGCGGCTCCGCGCCGGTTACCTGGCCCATGCTGGCCGCATCGGGGGCTCCATTCAGCAGACGACCGCTCCGGGTCTGGCGCGGGCAGGGGCGAGCAGTCACCGCCTACTCGGCCCCTTGGCTTAAGCTCCCCAATCCCTGCCACAGGAGGCCGCCCCAAACTTCGCCTGTCCAAGCCAGTGCTGGGGCTCGGTCCCAGCCCTGTCTCCCGCCGCTGTCCCTCCCTCCGTCTCTCCCGAGCCTGCACTGGGCCCAGGCTGTCCTCCGTATCCCTGTGGGTGACCGTCCGTCCGGGCGGCCGTCGCGAGGCACCTTAGACTGGGCGGCTTAGAAACGACGTTGGTGTCTGGTGGTCCTGGGAGTCTGCACTCAGGGTGGCAGCGTGGTCGGGATCTGGAAAAGGCCTTCTTCCTGGTTGCCCAAGGCCAGCTTCTTGCTGTGTCCTCACTTGGGGGACAGAGCGAGCTGCTCCTGGCCTCCTCTTACAGGGGCAGGAATCGTTCCATCCTCATGACGTTTGTCATCTCCCCAAAGCCCCAGTTCCTTATACCCTCACCTTGGTTAGGATTTCAGCAGAGGAATTTGGAGAGGAGGACACAAACATTCAGTGCATTGTCTTGGGCTTGTATCTTCTTTTGCCTCCTCTGGCCCCTTAAAAGTGGGAGTCTTAAACCTTTCCTCGGGTTCGGGCCTAGTTTGTAGGCTGAGTACAGTCACCACATACAACACAGGATGCCCAATTAAATTTGGATTTCAGATAAACAATGAATAATTTCTTTTTGTTTGTTTTTTTTGAGACAGAGCCTCGCCCTGGCTCGCAGGCTACAGTGCAGGTAGCACGAGGTCAGCTCACTGCAACCTCTGCCTCCCGGATTCAAGCGATTCTCCTGCCTCAACCTGAGTAGCTGAGATTACAGGCGCTCGCCACCACGCCCATTTTATTTTTGTATTTTTAGTAGATACGGGGTTTCACCATGTTGGCCAGGCTGGTCTCAAACTCCTGACCTCATGATCCACCCGCCTCAGCCTCCCGAAGTGCTGGGATTCAGGTGTGAGCCACCGCATCCGGCCAACAGTGAATAATTTCTTAGCATAAGTATACCTCCTGCAATATTTGGGACAGACTCAGGAATTACTGGTGGTTTATCTGAATTTCAGATTTCGCTGGCAGCCCTGTAAGAACCTTGGGGCAGGCAGGTCACTCTGTGTGACTGGGGACAGCCAGAGGCCCAGGCAGGAGGAGCAAGTAGTGAAGCCTGAGTGAATCACCCAGGCAGGTCCTGAGCCCTCCACCAACATCTGGTTTCTGTCCCTTCTCAGTCTCCAGGAGGAAGTTTATTTTCTCCTCTGCATCCTGGGCAGCTGTCCAGTGCCTATCCTGACTGCTGGCAGCCCTAAGCAGATACTCTCCAGATGCAGCATGGCCTCCTTGGTGCCACCTCTTAGGGAAGGAAACTGTGATGGGCTCCTTGCCATCTTACAACCACAGTGCCCACTGGAGGCGTCTTGTTCTAAAGCCCAGTGGCCTATTCCAGGCCCTGGTAGGAACCAGTTTGGATTATTTGATCCGAATTTTCCAGCCAAAGCCTTTAGAAGGTGCCCATCCAATCCCACTGCAGCCCGTCGAGTCATCCCTGCATCTGTCCTCCACCTACCAGCTTCTATTCACCTTTCAGGACTACCTGAAACAAGACTGCCTTAGAGAAGCACCCCTCCATTTCCCTATCCCAATTAAACTGGGACCCCTGAAAAAATGTGGCCTTAATTTTTCCTTCAGGGTCATCATCAGATGTTTAACTCTCCAGCTATGGGTGTCGTTTTGGGGTGAAGGTCTGTTTCCCACTGTCAACCAGGGACTGCAAGCTGTGCCAGGGCAGGGAGCTGTGTCTTTGGTCCCCTAGTGTGTCCTGGCACCACCTCGTCGGTAGGAAATGTGTGCCTGGGAGCCCAGTGGCAGGCATGTTGCAAGAGTTGAGCCTTCTGAGGTCAGGAGACAGCCACCAGGTACTGCAGTGGAGGTGCCCAGGGAGTGGGAAGGGAAGGGAGGCCAGGTGGGATCCAGGTGGGGCAGAGGAGGCCCCAGTGGCCAGCTGGGTGTACAGGATGAAAAAGACCCACCTCTCCAGCCACCTTTTATAAAAAAATAAAAATAAAAAACAAAACAAAACAAAAAAAATCTTTCTTCATGAAGAAATTGGGTGAATGTGTCTAGACAAGATTGGATGTGATACAGACCCAAAGATAGTTTCAGTTAGTGTCAGCGTGCAGTCCTGTAAGTCAGAGTTTTAAACCTTTTCCCTAGACCAAAG